ATTGTTGGTGGAATGGACATGGTTGCGCAAGGGTTGCAACTATCGAAACATCCGCATGTAGTTGTTGCGACCCCGGGACGTTTGGCGGACCACCTTGAGAGCTGCGATATATTTTCTTTGAAACGAATTAAATTCCTGGTTTTGGACGAAGCGGACAGACTCGTGGAAGGTCGCTTCGACGATCAGTTGAAAACCATATTTGAGGCTTTGCCCAAGCGGAAGCAGATGCTTCTTTTTAGTGCAACGATGACGGATACCCTCGACAAAGTGAAACATATAGCGTCCGATAAGGTGTTGTAAAATTATATAAATATTTGAAAGATCAAGTAGGTGTGGAATTGTGGAATAAATAACTGGAATTGTTCTTCAAGGCCTTCGTATGGGAATCGAAGGATGAATCTGGTTCAGTTACGGCGAAGGAACTTGATCAACGTTACGTGCTTTGTCCGAGCGACGTGCGTGATTCTTTCTTGGTAGAAACGATTAGAACCTTTAAAGCGAGTAACAAAGATGGATCTATAATGATATTTACAGATACTTGCAAGTAAGATAAAATCGTGGTATAACACGATGCAAACCTTAATGTTTTGTTACGCGTTGTATTTTGTAGGCATTGTCAGGTATTATCCGTGACGTTGAACGACGTTGGATTCAAAAACGTAGCTCTACACGCAATGGTAAAGCAAAGAGATCGTCTTGCCGCACTTGCTCGATTTAAGTCCAGTCGTGCGAAAATTTTAATAGCTACGGATGTTGCGGCAAGAGGTTTGGATATTCCTACGGTTGAGTTGGTCGTAAATCATGTAATACCGAACGTACCGAAGGAGTACGTTCACAGAGTTGGAAGAACAGCCAGAGCGGGCAAAAGTGGTACGGCAATCAGTCTGGTAACTCCACGCGATGTTAAATTGTTACATGCAATTGAAGATGTTGTTGGTACGAAACTTACGGAATATAAAGTCAATGGTAATATATTTTCAACTCTCGTACTTTGTGAAACGAACGTTTGAAATACATCGATTCAGCCTTTTTTGGGTATAGATGCGGAAATAGTTACGATCTTAACGCAGATATCTGTCGTTAAACGAGAAGCGGAAATGAAATTAGACGAGACGGGCTTTTATGAAAAAAGAATAATTAACAAACGCAAAAAACTTATTCTCGAAGGAAAGGATCCAGATGAAATTGAGGAAACATTGGAAAGGAGAGGAAACAAATTAAAGAAGAAACAGAAAATTCATGAAAATTCGCGTGATAAAAATAAAATGTAATTGGTATAAAATTTATTACGTTTAAAAGTGTACGTGATATAATGAAAAACATATGAATATTTTTATAATATATTGATATTCAGTGTACAAAACACATTCTTGTGAATTAGTATTAAAAGATAATTGTAAAAAAAAAGTATTTGCGTATATATGCTTGCTAAAGACAAAATTCAATTGATAAAAGTTCAATATCGATATAAAATATGTAGTTCGCGAGATATTTCTTCTTTTTACTACTTTTTATTTTTACTTTTTACGTCTGAAATAAATTTCCGACTTTCTTATTTCTTGCTATACGATTGTAGTAATTTTAGATTATACTTTTTTAATATCATTGCGCAAAAATATTCACAGATAAAGTTCACAGCCAAAAGTAGTCGAACCATTATTTATTTAATAAGTAATTTCGTAGTTTGTTATTTTTTTCAATTTCTACGAGAAACGAATATTTACATCCAAGAACTACGTATTTCGTGATAAGATTATCTCGAATATTTTTTGATGTATCTTATATGCGTTTAAAATTGTACCCCCACCTTTTTTTCTTTCTGCGTTAAATTTAATTTATTCAAGAAAGCATATAGTTCTGCTGTATATTCTTTTGGGTATTTACGATAATGTTCGACGTGTGGAGACTTTTCAAATATCTTGATATAAGTCTGAAAAAAAAATATTTCTACGCTATTCTATAGTTTACGCATCCGTAATTATTTCATATATTTACACATCTTACTTTTGTACCCAAAGAATCCCAGCTTTCCTTTACTCTTAGATTACTCGTTAGCGAACTCACTGTATCTGCTTTGCTTACGAACATCAACGCTGGTTTGTGCAGTGTGTTTGTATGAAATAATTGACTAGATCTTATGTAATATCGAGTAGATTGTTTGTAAAATGTTTTTAAATGATATCTGTGCAAACGGTATCGATACGTCGAGTTGAAAATTTTTGGGAAATATACGTAAAATTGATACAAAGGATAAACTTACTCGAAATACTTTTGACACATATTTTGTAGCGTTTCGTTTTTTGGAAATATAGCACGTGGTGTGCCTACTGCCAAGTCGTTCACATCGGCTAAACTATCCCATACTTGACCGACAATCCTGTCAAATATATCGTTACATTTTTGAGGATCGTGCTGCAGTAAATCCAATACTTCTCCCCACATATATCCAGCTACTGAAAATCCATGTAACAATATTTGCTGATAATTTTGTTGTTTTTCTAGAAATTCTATCAAATCTGCTGCGACTAGCTAAAAGGGAACCTTTGCAAATTAAATTACATAACTACAAATATTGATGTAATATATATATTGTAGCTTATATTTTATATATTCACCCTAGATCCTTTCGTTGGCCATAACAATTGCCAAGGTGTAATTGACACTAGTAAAACGTCAAACTCTTGTTGCAAATATAAATCCACGTATTTCATGATATGTGCACGCTTTGGTAACAACCAACTAAGTAAAACTAAAAGAGGTTTGTTTTCCTCGCGATTCGAATTCAATACAGTTTTGTCAGTTTTGACTCGATTGTTTTGTGAGATATGTTCGATATTTTTTGTAACTTGATAACTCGAAAATTTACACACCGATAGAAACACGGTCTAATTAAGGGAAACAAATTTATCAGAATACAAATTTTTATAAAAGTAAATCAAGAAAGTATAAACGGATATTACCAAATTTTGTCTTTGTTTCAGTGATTGTGGTTTTACCCAAGGCGTTAATCTTGTTCCGACGAGAGTGGATAACATTCTTCCAACTGTCGTTATTAAAATTAATGGAGATTACTAATGATTACAACATTACAGTGATGTGATATTGAAATTCTTTAATTCGTTGAATAGCCTGTGAAAATAAATCGAGATATCGACAAGGTTGATAAAAACACATGTTTAATTGATAATTGCAAAAATTGAGTATTAGTAATTGCAAAATGTCTAATTTGTATTGGTAATTATAAATGTTTAGTTTAGAATTTAATATTACCTACGTGTAGAAATGGTCGATGCGATAAAACACAACTCGACCGATCGTGTTGGTAGTTGAGATCGATCGACCTATCTGATATTCATTTTTTGTCGATGTACTAATAAATTGTGTCTCTCTCTTTGTTTTCTCTTTTACTCGTACGTACAACGAACGCACGCAGATCTGCCAACTGTAAATAAATATCGTTCGAAGATCGTGTAGGATAGGGAATGCCGCGATGACGTTCTTCCGACTGATTCGTTATCGATAAATGTACGTATCAAGGATTTTTAAATTGATGATTTGACTCGGCAGTCGAGGTCAATGTCGAATCGCAACGGATTAATTTACGTGTATTTTTTGACGTGCGCGATTATACTTCACATTTCATGTTGGTACGTTGTATAATTTACTGGGGTATCGATAAATTACCTTAAATCATTATCGATTAATTTTATTCGTGTATGAGTGGTAGAAATTTTATTAATCTTTCGTAAATCTTATCTTGCGAAACGGAATTTTTCCATTTTGATCGTTGCATCTTCCGATAAATAAATATAAGCGTATATCGAATGATCATCGTTCCAAATGAGATACGTATTTCTTGCTGTATCTCA